CTCTCTCACCTTTAGAATGTACTTAAATCTACTTTGTAGTCTTGAAGATCCTGAAAATATTTCTTAAGAAAATCACTTTGTTATTATGATGGTCCTTGGGAAATAATTTCCTAGTCAAAGTTCGCCTGTAAGGACTAAATAATATGATCATCTTCCCGCTCTTGTGTAAATCATGACTTTCATCACACATTTTTCAAGAACCACACCGTCCAAAACACCTTTAAACCAGTTTATACTCAACTCATACTGTCGTTCACTCTCTCTCTCTCACTCTCCCTCTCTGTATCTCTCCAACATAGAGACACCATTCATCCAATCGTCAACATCATTAACGGTTTTATTGTTGTGTCTGCTCGTCAACCAAAAAAAAAAGTCGCTTATCAGCCGATTAAAGTCATTAGACCCTCTATTCATGGTGCAAATCAAGAAAATAACTATAAACCAATAACAACAACAAAATCTGATCCGTCAGAAGCGACATTACGCTACGTTTTTGTTTTTTATTCATTTACGAGCGCGCTATTGACATTTCAATACAAACAATGCTTTCGGAATAGATTGGTTCAATGCGTTTAGTGTTTTTAATGCCGGTTCTATGAAATAATTGCCATGCCCCTGTCTTCTTATCAGTCAGTCAGTCAGTTAGTCAGTCAATCGGCCAGTTGATTGTTTTTTTTCTGTTTTCTCGTTGGTAATTCTCAAGAAAAATGTTAAACTTAAAAAAACTGATGGACCATGTTTAATTGTCAATTGCCCAGGGGACGGACGAACAGACAGACGTATGAGAGGCAGACTTCCAAAGCCATAGCAAAAACAACATTGTCTTCCATGTATAGGAAATTTTTTGAACGTGATAAGCATATTTTTGTTTTTGGTCTTCGTCTAAGTGAGTCTAGGTGGCCTTTCTTTTTTTTTTGAAATAGTTGCTGGTTCGTCGTTGGTCATTGCCGGGTTGTCATGTGGGTAAATATTTGTCTTCGCCAAGTGTTATAAATCATGAGCGTCGTTTTTGTCGGAACATGTGGAACTGTTTATTTATTATGTGCCAACAACAAAAAAACGGGGGTGTGTATTTCGAAAAGGGCCATCAACGAAACGTGACTTTTCAAAAAAAAAAAAAAAAAAAACAGTAAAGAAAGTCTTAAAGTCAGGCGGGGCCGATTTTATGATACCCTACACCACTTTGCTAATTTAGTAGAGCTGCGCATAATAATTGAAAGTTTTTATGGGAGAATCCAATCATACACGCTATGATTATAATTATAATTTAAAGTTTAAAGAACTAAATATGCCGAAGCATTTGTATCTTTTAAATTCGGACTTGTATTGCCCATTTGGTGCACAATTAATTTGAAATCGGATAAAAATATATATGGGAGCTATATCCAAATCTGAACCGATTTCGATAAAATTTGGCAAAGATATTTCTGAGCAGTATTTGATACATTTCCCTGAATATCGTTGTTACGGAGTGCATATTACGGCTGTGGGTAACAAATACAACAAATCGGATGAACATTATATATGGGAGCTATAGCTATATCTGAACCGATCTTCACCAAATTTGACATACTAGCTTCTAGTCAACTCAATTCGGTCGTAAGTGTCAAATTTCATCCCATTTGGGCAAATAATAGACGTTTGGTGCACAATCCAAGGTAAATCGGACGAAGGTATATATGGCAGCTATATCCAAATCTGAACCGATCTCGATAAAATTTAGCAAATGTATTTCTGAGCTGTATTTGATATATTTCCCCAAATATTGTTGTTACAGAGTGCATATTACGGCTGCGGAGGACAAAATTGACAAATCGGATGAACAATATATATGAGAGCTATAGCTATATCTGAACCGATTTCGATCAAATTTGGCATACTTATTTTCAGGTCTAATCTGATCGTACGTGCGAAATTCCATAATATTCGGACTAATATTACACGTTTGGTGCACAATAAAAGCAAATCGGACGAAGATATGTATGGGAGTTATATCTAAATTTTGACCGATTATCTCCAATTTCAATAGGGTTCGTCCTTGTGCCAAACAAATGATTTGTGCTAAATTTCATCTGGATAGGGCAATAAATGCGAACTGTACTCTGTTTACAAAAATACATGGACACACGGACGGACGGATGGACGGACGGACATGCATAAATCGACTCAGAATGTGATTCTATTCAGATCATCAAAAGGAACTATGGGTCTATCTCGTTTCCTTTTGCCTGTTACAAACAAATGCACAAAGACATAATACTCTGACCACCTTGTGGTGTAGGGTATACAAATAAATAGGAAGAGGAGTAAAGAACTGGAACACTCAGGTATATATATAAACATAGTACTGGAATATATTTTAAGGATCGTGAAAAATATGAGCTTTGATTTTTTTAAAGAATATTTTTCATGGCCCACTAATACTACAAACTTGGATTTTTCAAAGAAATTTTTTTAATTTCGATATCAGTAGCGGAATTGTCTAAAGGTGAAAATAAATAAAAAATATCAAATTATAAGAATTTTAATTTTACCAATTTTTGTCGGTAACTATAAAAAAATTGTTAGGGTGAGAATTCATAAAATGCGTTTTTTAACTGTCTTAAGCCAACGGCTGGCTGGCTTTTCGGTAAGTTAGCGACGAAATTAAAGTAGTTGTTAAGATCTACCGATAGATACCAATGTTTTCCAATTTAACTTCCTTTTTTATACCCTCAAAAGGCCAAAACGTGCCGCATCGAAATAAGGGTTCTAGACCCTAAGTCTCTTTGGACCAAATCCGTTTCAGGACATTTGGAGTCGATCTAGCGATGTCCGTCCGTCTGTCTATCTGGCTGATACGCACGATAACTCTCGAAGGGAGTATCCGATTTGATCCAAACTTGGTATATCATAATATTATTTTCAAACTTAGATCGAGTTCGGAGATGGGTAATATCGGTCCACTCCCTCTGGTACCTCCTCCACAAAATGTCAACATCTTCAAAGAAATTTTTTTTTCTGCACAGAAAGAGAAAATATAATCCGATTTTGCTCCAACTTTGCAAATGCTATTATTTCCATCAGTGCTAGGTCAGGTGCGATAATGGACAATATCGGTCCACTCCATCAAGTACCTCCCCCACAAAGGGTCAAAATTTTGAATAATTACAACTCTTATAAAATGTGATGTAAGAGTACGATTATCTTCAAATTACACACATCACAATATTTTTATTAACCTAAGTTCTGGGAAGAATATGGAATACGTCGGTCAACTCCTTCTGGTACCTCCCCCATACAAAAGGTCGAAATTTTCAAAAAATATTTTTTGCAAAGAAACGGACACGATAATCCGATTTTGCTCCAACTTTGCAAGTATAAATATTTGCGTTAGTGCTAGGTCAGGTGCGAAAATGCAGAATAACGGTCCACTCCATCAAGTACCTCCCCCACAAAGGGTCAAAATTTTGAATAATTACAACTTTTAAAAAAATGTGATGTTAGTGTCCGATTGTCTTCAAATTACACACATCACAATATTTTTATTAACCCAAGTTCTGGGAAGAAGATGGAATACGTCGGTTAACTCCTTCTGGTACCTCCCCCAAAAAGGAACAACATATTGATTATTCCTGAAGCTCATAAAATACGAAATTAACATCCGATTCCATTCTGACTTGCCACATTCAAATATTTCCATCAACACAAGATCTGTGATAATGATGGTAGAGATCGGAACATTCCTTCTGGTACCTCCCCCACAAAGAGTCAACATTTTCGATAACAAAGACGATTATAAAATCCAAAATAAGCATCCCATTATTTCTACTAACACAAGATCTGCTTTAAAGATGGGATATGTCGGTCCACTCCTTCTGGTACTTACCCCACAGAGGGTCAGAATTTGGAATAACCATAAATCTCGTAAAACGAGAAATAAGCATCCGGATCTCTTCATATTTTACACATCCCATTATTTCTACTAACACAAGATCTGCTCTGAAAATAGAACATATCGGCCCACTCCTTCTAGTACCTACCCCACAATGGGTCAACATTTTGAATAACCATGACGCGAAATTAACAGCCGATTCCACTCAGATTTGGTACATCGCAATATTGCCATCAATACAAGATCTGTTATAAATATGTCAGAGATCGGACCATTTCTTCTGGTACCCTCCCCTCCCCCACGTAGGGTTCAAGATTTTTTAGAAACAAAATGCTCAAGGAAAGCGAAATAAGCATCCAACTCTCTTCAAATTTCACAAATCAAATATTTTTGCTGACGCAAGATCTGTTGTGAAGATGATGATGATACATCTGCCAACCCCTTCTGGTTATCCCGTCCACAAAGGGTCACAATTTCCTCTCAACCAGAAATCTGTGATGAATATGGAATTTGTGATTTCGCATAAAATTTGAGATAAATGTTTGATGTTCTGGTAATTTTGCCCATTCCAATATTTTTATCTATATTAAATGAAGTATGAAAATACTTCGGTCCGCTATATCTGTTACCTCACGCATAATTACACATTTTTTCAAAAATTTGCACATGTCTCATATAAAGTATAGGAAGAAGTCGATATAGTCCAAAATCTGGCAAGTTTTAATATTTATGTCAGTCTTAGGACAGATATGAATTGGTCAATATTGGCCAAATGCTGCGGAGCCTCCCCCCATAAAGACTCAACAGTTTGAATAATTATAACTCATGGCTGGGGGTATGCATCTGTCGGCAAAACCGACTGTTACTATTTTACTTGTTTTATTCCTCTTTTCTTAGTTCCCCTTGTGTAAAATTCAAACTAGTGCACCCTATTTTTTCTCTGTGTCTCCCTCTCAATGTGTGATCTACAGGTTCTCTCTCTCTTATTATCCTTTTATTATAAGAAATAGATAACTTATTTAAAATCATTTCTACAATTCTCCCAGCCCCTTTGATTAAGAAAGTAGTAATTTTTAAACTTTAAAAAATTAACGGACTCCCATCAACATCAGCTGTTTTACTCATGATAACAAATAGCCAGTGTTGTAAACAAGTGTAGTAGATGTAGTCCCCATACATGGGGTGCGCAATGTGTTGATATGATAACAACAACAACAAAACACCATACAAAACACACGTTATGGGTGGTAAAGTCATTGAAACATTGGACGATGCAATTGCAATTGAAATTCTGAATGAAAATGCCATAATTACCGGTGAGTGGAAACCAATACCTGGCAAATGAAAAGTTTTAATCCAAATGTCACATAGGAAAGGGGAATGAGCTGCATTTATACACAAAGGGCACAAAAAATGACAAAGATGACGAGCTGTGGCAGGAACATGTCTTGGATATAACATTGACGAATAAAATTCATGGAATCCATAAAAACGGCGATGGTTCGCTGCTGGTCTATGGAGAAAAGGAATTTGTGCTACTTTCTTCCTGTTCCGGGCATGACATTCCACACTTCCATGAATTCTTTAGAGCCACTCTCAGCGATTGGATAAGTTGTGGTAGTTTTCTCTCAGACCCCGTTGAAGTCATACTACTTACAGCTCATAGCATCGTCTTACGTTTTGCCTATGACATTGAGAAACAATCATGTGTCCTCAAGGAACGCATATCGTGTAGTGATAAATCCACCCTATATTGTGCCCATTTATATGGGTCGACATGGAAGGATTTAGTGGTATTTTCGGGTAATGCTTTTGGGGAGCTGCTAATTTGGCAACCTTCGGAAAATACAGAAAATCATGAAGCAGCTTCCAAACCTAGGGCCTCCATTTTATTACATCGTATACCAGCCCATAATGGAGTCATATTTTCCATTGACTACGATGAGAAGACCAAACAATTGATAACCACAAGTGATGACCGGGCAGTTAAGTGGTGGAAAGTGAAATTATGTGATACTAGTGAGGGAGGATGGTCCAATTCCACTCTTCAAGCTGTGGCAAGTGGTTATGGTCATGTTGCCAGGGTCTTTAAGGGCAGGATTATTAAGAATGGTGGGTATCGAAAGGCATTTTGGATGCCAAAGAAAACTTGGTTATAAATTTTTATTTTAGATGCCCATACCTATGCCCTCAGTGTGGGCGAAGACTCCTATTTCTGTTTGTGGAGTAGCAATGGGGAGATGCTATTCAAACGCCGTCAACAATTTGGTGCCACAATTTGGAATTTCATATACAACACACACAACAAGACCATTTACACCTTGAGCTCCATTGGCAATATGGTGGCCTATGATTTGACACATGAATTGCAGAGAATACATAACTCCACAGAAGCCATGCATTTACTGCCAGAAGTACGAAAAGAGAATCCTTCCGAATATATAGCCAAGGTTAAATTTCTTAAAGAAAATTATCTTCTGGGCATAACAAATGAAAATCGTTTGATGAGAATGAAATATCAACGTGATTTAAAGGAAATCAATGGCCTATGGGAGGAGCTGAATGTGGGTCTCAATTTCAAATGCACCGTTATGGAGGTATATGAGAATCGCATTGCCATTTGTGGTTTTAAACGCTTGCTACTGCTAGAATGGCAAGTGGAAGAAGATAAATTTGAGATTCTTTTGGACCAACAACTTTTGGAAGGTGTTATAAGGGCCTTTGTCTTTTTTAGCTTTACAAGTTATTTGATATGCGATGACAAAGGAAATTGCATTTTACAATTAGATAAGAATGTCAGCCCACGTAGTTTGACATTGGCAAAATGTAAAGAACCTTGGCTTACCACTGCTTTACTGCTTTCCCATGGCGACTACATGCTCATTAGCAATCGTTTGGGCAATCTTTTGTTGTATAAATTAAGTGACAATGGAGAAAGCTATGATTTAAGGGATACTTTGAAACATCCCCATGAAAATTTGGGAGCCACACAATTACAAATTGTCAAAGAAAATGAGGATTCGGTAATGGTTCGTTCTTGTGGCCATGATGGGGCCATAAAGTTATATAAAATAAGCTACAAAGAGGATAATATTATTAGCTGCTCTCGCGAAATTGTCCAGGTGGCGTGGATAGAAAACATAATACCAAAATGGCATGGAGAACAAGATCTATTTTTGGGTTTCAATGATAACCACTTTACGGTGTGGACCAGAGAATATGATTTCCTTTTACAATTGGCCTGTGGAGGTGGTCATCGTTGTTGGCATTATCTCATTAATTCCAAAGAACAAAAGATTTCTTTGGCCTTTATTAAAAATAAAAGGGTGAGATTTTACCATTTGCCTTTATTGAATAAGGGACTGACATCTCTGCCGCCAGCCAAGAAATGGCACATAGCACCATGTAATATAATGGAAATCCTTAAGACGAAAGAAAGAACAATTGCCGTCTCGGCAGGAGATGATAATTTAATAAAATTACACAAAGTAACAGAGCAAGGTTTAGAGCAATGTCAGGAATCACACTGCCACATATCAAATATACGTGCCCTTAAACTACATGCCATCAATGAGCAGGAGTTCCTTATCTTCTCGGGAGGTGGTCGAGCTCAATTGTGTATCAATAAAATAAATGTAGCAAATAATTTCCACATACAAGAATTGCTGAACTATACTGTGAAACCGGAGGATCAAACCAACCCAACGAATAATAAAACAAACTACAATTTTGATCCCGAAACCCGCCTAATGTCCTTGGATATTAAACCCCTCAACAATGGAGAATATCAAATATTCATTGGCTGTTCCGATGGCTATGTGAGATGTCTGCATTTCCAATTCTCTCCCCTGAAAATACAACTAACCTCTCAATATTTCTATAAGAAATGTTTATTACACATTAAATATGTCAAGGAATATGATTATTTGCTAGCTGCCGGAACCGATGGATATCTCCGATTCTTTGATGCCGCCCTAACACATTGTCTCCAAGAAATAAAACATCATTCTAGTGGGGTTAATGGGCTTTGCCTAAGATTTAATGGCTCCCATAAAGCTTTGCAAATCCTTTCTGGAGGTGATGACCAATCCGTAACTTTTAGTTCCTTGGATTTATCGCAGGATTTTAAATGTCAACACAATTTCACAAATCCCTCACTGCATACGGCCCAAGTATGTGCTGCTGCGATATGCTCGAATGGCCAGTATGGTTATACCAGTGGTGTGGATCAAATGCTTTATAAAATCGATTTATTATCTGGAGAAATTGTCGAGAAATTTCATTCCTGCGTTGCTGACATTAAAGGCGTCTGCCTGTTGGGTGATGACTTATGTCTGCTCTATGGCTGTGGCATGCAATTAATTAAGCTAAGGAATTGATTACCTTTTTTGTGTGAATATTTGATAAAAATTTGTTAAAAAAAAATAAATGTTTTGTAGAAAATATTCACGTTTTTTGGTCTCTTGGTGGACGGGATATGGAAATTTTGATGGTAAAAAAATTATTTTTTAAAAATTCACGATCCACGGAATTTTTAAAATTTTTATTTTTGCATGTTGTTGTAAAATGGTCAGGCTTAATTCCATTATTGTTGTTTTTATAAAAACAACGTTTGTTTATTAATGGAGAACGATGAAATCAAAATAAATACAAGGTGAGATGAAACCAGTAAAGAAAGTCCTAAAGTCGGGCGGGGCCGATTTTATGATACCCTACACCACTTTGCTAATTTAGTTGAGCTCCAAATAACAATTAAAAGTTTTTATGGGAGAATTCAATCATACACCCTATGATTATAATTATAATTTAAAATTCAAAGGGCTAAATATCGGATGAACAATATATATGGGAGCTATAGCTATATCTGAACCGATCTTCACCAAATTTGACATACTAGCTTCTGGGCTCAATTCGGTCGTAAGTGCCAAATTCCATCCCATCTGGACAAATATTAGTCGTTTCGTGCACAATAAAAGGTAAATCGGACGAAGTTATATATGGGAGCTATATCCAAATCTGAACCGACCTCGATAAAATTTAGCAAAGGTATTTCTGAGCTGCATTTGATATATTTCCCCAAATATTTTTGTTACAGAGTGCATATTACGGCTACGGAGAACAAAAATAACCAATCGAATGAACAATATATATGGGAGCTATAGCTATATCTGAACCGATTTCGATCAAATTTGGCATACTTATTTTCAGGCCTAATTTGGTTGTATGTCCAAAATTCCATACTATTCGGACTGATATTACACGTTTGGTGCACAATAAAAGGCAAATCGGACGAAGATATATATGGGAGCTATATCTAAATTTTTACCGATTATCTCCAATTTCAATAGGGTTCGTCCTTGGGCCAAACAAATGTTGTTTGGAAAATTTCATCTCAATCGGATAATAAATGCGACCTGCATTTTGTTCACAAGAATACATGGACAGACGGACGGACTGACATGCATAAATCAACTCAGAAAGTGATTCTATGCAGATCATCAAAAGGAAAAGAATATAGACTCAAAAGAGTTTAGCTAAAGTGTTAATTCGCATGGCCGAAAGTGCTGAACTGCCGAATTTGCTTTTCTCCGACGACATTCAAAAACATTCGTTGTCCAGCAGTTTATAAACAAACAAAATGATCGCGTTTACTTGCCAAAGAGGTCAGCTGAAAATGTGGAACTTCGGTTGGCCACCAGAACTCTAGCGCCGGCCATAGTGATGGTGTGGGCCGCCATAACAGCCGATGGTCGCTCTCCGCTCGTATTAATCGACTGCGGCATCAGAATAAATGCCGAATATTATGGCGAAAATATTCTTGAGGGTGTATTAAAGCCTTGGGCACACAAACATTTTGGCCGCAGACCTTGGACATTCCAACAGGACTCAGCACCATCGCACTCAGCACGCGCCACCCAAGAAGTGTTACAAACTGAGGTTCCTCGCTTCATTTTCAGCGCACAATGGCCATCAAAATCTCCGGATACCAATCCGTTGGATTATTGGTCTGGAGTATTTTGGAAAACAAGGTTGACACTAAAAAATACCAAAGTGTCGATCATCTCAAGCAAGCGCTTCGCCGGGAATGAGCCAAAATACCACAGAGCAACATTTGGGCAGCGTGTGATGGTTTCAATGGCCGTTTGAAGGCCATAATTCGTGCCAAAGGTGACCAATTCGAAAAAATCTAAACTTATTCTAAAATTTGATGCTATTTCCGACATTTTTTGCTTTCACATTCAATAAAATTAAAAAAAAAATAAATAAATAAAAATTATGGCGTTTAACTTTCCAGTTTTTTTTATCTCACCCTGTATTCTCAAGGATTTTTTTTTACCAGATTTTCTGTCGTATAAAACACTCTATCTTTTAACCATTTTCAAAAAGTTTTACTTATTCTTATTAAACAATATTGTTTTTGAAGTAACCCTGCTTAAATGTTGTCTACCACAAAGAGAGCCTTTTCACTCCAATCAGAAATAACAATTTCGAGAGAAATTGTTTCTTTTCCATTTTTTGGTATCATTAACATATGTCTAGGGAAAAAATTCCGGCGTAGGAAAAGTATTTTCCTCTAGAAAAATTCCCCTTGCAAAAATAAAGAAAGTTTGCAATGAAAAATGAGGATTAACTCTAGTAAAAACAGGCGGATTTTTTTTTAATTTTGTCCTGAATTAGATATTCTTATCTTGATTACGAGATATTCGGATATTTGACCCAAAGGACCGAGTCCCAAGACCCGATATAGATCCGGATCTAATAAACGAAATATTGAACCAACATAGGTTACACAAGGTGCGAAAAAGACCCATTCCCGTTGCCACGATTGGAGGAATTGTCTCTCGAGGAAAATACCCCATTAGGAATTTCCGAGAAGAATTCTATACGTCCGGTTATTCATGATTGGGCTGAGCATAAATAAACAAAACAAATCGTATTTAAAATGAAATATATACATGTTTTAAATTTATTTTAATACTGCACTCCTCTTCCTTTATCATCTCAGCGGTGTTGTTATCAATATATCAAACTCCAAATTTGGCACATGTCCTTCCTTTCTACTGCGATAATCCAACATTAGATCTTTAAAAGTTTGAAAATCACTAAATGACTGCAACAATTCGAATATTTCGGAGTCACCAAAGCCATAGGGATCCTGGTGCGAATCATATGAGCTGTCAAATAATTGCAATACATTTATTTCTCTTTCTTCTATAGAAAACGTAAAAATGTTTCGTACCTTAATTCCTCCACAAATTTCTCCATATTGAAATCGTCCATTCTATGCTGCAATTCCTGCATAATGTGACTCTCAAATTTGTTACTATATTCCTCAAATATATCCATATATTCTAATTTGTTTTCTTCGCCGGTCTCAAAACAATTCCAATGTTGTTCTAAAAATTCCTCTTGCATTTGTTGAAATTCCTCGCTGAGCACAATGTCTTCGATGTGTCCAATAACTTCATCGAAAAATTCACTACCCCGTGTAATGCCAACAATTTCAATATTTGTGGCATGTTCTGTGGGAGAATCCATTTAATTTTTTGTTTTTTTTTTTTTTTTTTAATTAAATTTCTATTAAAAACTTGACGTGTGGCAGTATTGATTATTTTTATAAAAAAAAATGACAGTTGGTTCGTTTGGGGTTGCCTTGGCAACGGCTTGTGGAGTTGATACACCCTACACCGTAATGTGGTAAAAGGGTATTATGCCTTCGGGCAGTTGTTTCTAACATTCAAAATACAAAAAGAAAATTGACCCATTGTTACCTTTTTTTTAATTGTTTAATTTTTAAGGCATTTTTTCTCCGACTAAGTCGTGGATATTTTAAAGAATATTTTTCAACCACCAACAAAACCAAATTTGTTAATCTTTAAAAGAGTATTTTCCAACGACTAACAGACCCAAAGGGTGGGAACATTTCTCAATGACCACCAGTCGAAAAATCGCGAATTTTAGAATAGTTTCTACAAAATACAGGGTGAGATAAAAAAACTGCAACAAAGTCAAACGCCATAATTGTTACATTTTTTAATTTTATTGAATGAATTTCGGAAATAGCATCAAATTTTAGAATAACTTTAGATTTGTTTGAATTGGTCACTTTCGGCACGAATTATGGCCTTCAAACGGCCAATGAAACCGTCACACGCTGCCTGAATATTGCTCTACGGTACTTTGACCCAATTCCGGCGAAGCGCTTGCTTGAGGTGATCAACACTTTGGTATTTTTTAGTGCCAACCTTATTTTCCAAAACACTCAAGACAAAATAGTCCAACGGATTGGTATCCGGAGATTTTGGTGGCCATTGTGCGCTGGAAATGAAGCGAGGAACCTCATTTGTAACCATTCTTGGGTGGCGCGTGTTGAGTGCAATGGTTCTGGGTCCTATTGGAATGTCCAAGGTCTGCGGCCAAAATGTTTGCGTGCCCAAGGCTTTAATACACCCTCCAGAGTATTTTCGCGATAATATTTGGAATTTATTCTGATGCCACGGTCAATTAATACGAGCGAAGAGCGACCATCGGCTGTTATGGCGGGCCACACCATCACCATGGCCGGCGCTTGAGTTCTGATGGCCAACCGAAGGTGCACATTTTCAGCTGACCTCTTTGGCAAGTAAACACGATCATTTTGTTTGTTAGCAAACTGCTGGATAACGAACGTTTTCTCAAATTCGGCCACTTTCGGCCAAGCGTCGCTTCGCTTCATTAACTCTTCTGAGTCTATTTTTTTTTCTGTTGCGGTGTAAGTTCTTGCACTTTTTGGAATTTCAATGGCTTTACCCAGAGCCCATTTTTCAATATTTGCCGAATGGAATATTGTGATATGTTCAGCTCGTCGGCCACTGCGATGTGGGTTTCGATCAAGTCGCTTCTTTACTTTTCGAACTATTTCTGCTGATGTTGCTGTTTTCCCTCGTCCACTTCCTTGACGTCGGCCCTCGCAACCAATATCACGGTATCGAGCCAAATATAAAGAAATCACCCTATCACGCCTGAATTACATCACGAATAACTTTTTTTCTGGAAAATTCTCACCAGAATGCTTTTGTACGCTTTTTAACCAATATGGTGTCGGATGAATGACTTAGAAATGACATCAGTCTGAAATTGGTTGCAGTTTTTTCATCTCACCCTGTATGTTGAACATGAATTGGTTCCAAATTTATCCTGTTGTGGTAATCCACATTTAAGCAGTGTTACTTCAGAAACAAATATCCTTGAAGAAGGATAAGTAAAAGTTTTTGAAGATCGTCAAATCATAGAGAGATTTATACGAAGGAAAATCTGCTAAAAAAAGATCCTTAAGAATATATTCAAAAGATGTAAGACATACCTTTATAGGGTAGTGGCATTTCAAAGGTATTTTGACATCTTTTAGACAGGGTTTTTTTATGGCTATGAAACCTTTCAAATGGTCCACAGAAAGAAAATCATTCAAATAGCCTTTTACAGATAGAATACCTTTAAAAGGATCCTTCACATATGGAAGTTACTTCCTCATACCTTACTTTTTACTAACATTCTAAAAATTATAACAATGTCGATCATAAATAAATTAAAAAACAACTTGAATTAGTGCTTGAAGATAATAATATTTAATATTATTTCTTTTTTTATTATTATTATCGTGGACATCATTTCCAATGACAAATATATTTATATTCCAATTAAAAGTTAACTTAAAACATATCTAAGATTATGTTGCTAAATTTCTTTGTTGTTTATAAAACATTAACAAGGCTAAATATAGATTTTGGTAGTTTGTTTTTCTTTTTTTTTTCTGTTATAAACTTTCATTTCTCAAAAAAAAACATTCAAACATAGAATCTCTGTTTGTATGCAAAGCTTTAAAAACAATATAAAAATAAAAGCTATACAATAAATTCTATGTCCGAGAATCATCGTGGTAAGTGTTCGTTCATATAGGAAAATTAGAACATCACAAGCACAAGAAGAAAGTAAATGAAAGGTGCAGGACATAACAAAAAAATACATGATTTCCAAAGAATATTAATTAGAAACTAAAATAATAGCTTCATCAAAAAACACAAAGACAGGCCATAGAAATAGGAAGGAAGGTGTCTAACATTCCTTGGAAATATAAAAGTAATTTTTCTTTTAAATATAGATGGGTATAAAAAACAAAAACTATTCGGTTTGTCGGTTATGCTCGTCATCAACATCATCGCTTTACATTTTCCTCTCAATCTCTTTAGTCTGATTTTCTTTTAGACACCACAAACGTTGGCAATTTGTCTCCAGCATTGCCTTTCAATTTGCAGTGTTGCGTTAAAAATCATTTTTTGTCATGCGTTTCATCTTGCTCAGCTGTGGCCTTATCTGCAGCACGTTGAGCTTTCTTGTCTTCATACATTTGAATAATCTCAGCTTTGGTTGGCATTGGTTTAATATAACCAGCCTGTACAAGATATTTAATGGAGACAGTGGTACCACCTGTAAAATAGATTGGAAGTTTATTGAAATGCTGTTAAGCTGGGGGTGTGTGTGTGTGTGTTACAGTAAACTTACCAAGCGTGACGGCATAGCGCAATGGTGTTGCTACCTTATAGCATAGATATGCCACAGCCCAATGACCCAAACTTGAGCCTTGCACCTTTTCGATTATTGTTTCGCTCAAATGTAAATATTGTAGAATGGCGGGAACATCAACGCCACTGAAAAATGGAAGGAAAAAGAGTTATTTAATATTTTTTTTAATAAAAATAATAGCAGCCTGTTTAAGGACAGATCAAAGGATCTAATTTCTGTTGAATTATTGAAGAAAAGTAAAGAAGTTAGATCGAAAGTCAAATATGAGAAAGAAATTGGGAAAAATATTGCAAGGGATGAGATGAAAAAACTGCAACCAATTTCAGACTGCTGTCATTTCTAAGCCACTCGTCCGACAGCTGTTAAAATTATTCAAATGACAGCTCATTATATTGTTTACAAGCGTACAAAAGCATTCAGGTGAGAATTTTCCAGAAAAAAAGTTATTCGTGATGGAATTCAAGCGTGATAGTGTGATTTCTTTATATTTGGCTGGAAAACCGCAAGTAGCTATCGTTAGAGCACTCCATCATTTAAATGTGAATAAATCTTTTGAGTCTCGTACCATCGCTCGTTACCGTGATACTGGAGCGTAGCCCGACGTCAAGGAAGTGAACGGAAGAAAACAGCAACATCAGCAGAAATGGTTCGAAAAGTAAAGAAGCGACTTGATCGAAACCCGCGTCGCAGTGGCCGAAAAATGGGTCGTGAGCTGAATATATCGCAATATTCCATGCGGCAAATGTTGAAAAAATTAGCTCGGGGTAGGTAAAGCCATTGAAATTCCAAAAAGTGCAAGAACTTACACCGCAACATAAAGAAAATAGACTCAAAAGAGCTAACGAGTTGCTTCATTTGGCCGAAAGTGGTGAACTGCCAAATTTGGTTTTCTCCGATGAGAAAACATTCGTCGTCCAGCAGTTTGTAAACAAACAAAATGATCGTGTTTACTTGCCAAAGAGGTCAGCTGAAAATGTGCACCTTCGGTTGGCAACCAGGACTCAAGCGCTGGCCATGGTGATGGTGTGGGCCGCCATAACAGCCGATGTTCGCTATCCGGTCGTATTAATCGAACGTGGCATCAGAATAAATGCCGAATATTATCGGGAAAATATACTGGAGGTTGTATTAAAACCTTGGACATTCCAACAGGACTCAGCAGCATCGCAATAAGCACGCGCCACCCAAGAATGGTTACAAAATGAGATTCCTCGCTTAATTTCCAGCGCAATAATGGCCACCAAAATCTCCGGATACCAATCCTTTGGACTGTTGTGTCTGGAGTATTTTGGAAAGTGTCGATCACCTCAAGCAAGCGCTTCGCCGGGAATGGGCTAAAATACCGCAGAGCAACATTTGGGCAGCGTGTGACGGTTTCATTGGCCGTTTGAAGGCCATAATTCGTGCCAAAGGTGACCAATTCGAACAAAACTAAACGTATTCTAAAATTTGATGTTATTTTGCTTTCGTTCAATAAAATTTAAAAAAAAATGTTAAAATTAAGGGGTTTGACTTTGTTGTAGGTTTTTATCTCACCCTGTAATGTATTCCCCTGAAGCAGTCTTGACAAAAATTATAGGCACAATTTAACGTCAGGGAATACTTAGTAGAGCCATGGACAATATTGACTACACACCACCAATCATGTATTTTTCTCAGCCTTATGTTCTTTTTACCCATACTTAAGTTCTGAATCGGGAATAATTTTACCCGGGAAATGCTTTCTGATGTCTAAAATAATTTATGTTCAATTATTGAGCAAAATTTAAATTTGGTCTTAAACTTGGCTGCATTTTGGATTTGGTGGTTCCAAAAATTGTTGAAAATGCGGACGAACACCTTGTAGTGGTCATGTCAAAAATGATAGGTTAATATATACGCCTTGGAAAACACCTTCTATCAGCCTTATGTACTTTACCCATGCTTAAGTTCTGAATTGGCAATAATTTCAAACTGAAAATCTACCATCGTCAAAATCAAACCTATCCACAATGTATATTGCCTTCCTGATTAGTTTAGGACATTTTTTAGATATTGGATTTGGTGAGGAGCTAAGAGATTCCTTAAATAAATCTCTTTCCATATTCCTTTAGGGTATGATACGTTCGTTGTCTGCCCATCGAAATACTGTGTTGTTGCATTCTTTTCATTTTCATAACTTTGTTTACATTTTCACTTCCTATCATATTCGTCGTTATTGTTGTTGTTCGCCACACTTAGATATTGATATTTATAGATCAAAACAATGCAATACTGGTATTTTCGAGAACTTCAATGAGAATACAATTTATGGTCAACGACATACGATAAGCTATGCAACAACAAAACAAAACCTACGCCTGTACTATTGCGCATTAAACCAAACTGAGCTGCAACGATTTTGAAATTTAAATAGGCCTAAGAAATTGTTGGGTAACTCAAATTTGACCCCAATTGCTTGGGTAAACAAATGTGACAAAGTACAAACTTACCTTTGTGACAGATAATAGAAACCTCCCAACCAACCAGCTGATGTAACAACATGCACCGGAATCAAGACATACCAATATTTTTTATACATCAATTTGAATTTGGCAAACAAACCCAATTTAGATGCTTCACCGAAGAGTACATCATTGACATCGGCCGATGCTACAGCTGATTTGGTGTCGGATTTATTGGTTTGATCTGGTGTCTGTTTTGTGCTAAATAGCCGCCTAGTTGGAGTTGTGCTCCACAATTGATATTGTGATGACAACAAAAGACCACAATTTAGTTGTTGTTTCTGCTGCTGCTGCTGCTCCCAACGTTGACTGCTGCCGGTTAATGTTACCGCTGATGTTGTTGTTGTTATTGTTCTTGTTGCGTCGTTACGTATAAATACAGCTGCCGCGGAACCGTGATGAAATGCACGTTTTAGATGGCACATTTGTTCTTGTTTTAAGGGATTCTGTACGATATTGATGCTGCTATTTGTTGCCTTGAAGGCATTGCTCAATAACCGTATAGTATTCATATTTTCTGTGATCTTACTGCAGCCGATACCTTCTTATTTGAAATTCTTGTGGGTCGTCGTATTTTTCTTGCTTGCTATTACATTATTTTTCTCTTTGGCTAGGAGTACGTGCTAGACAGTGTAGAGGGACATGTAGGTCGACTATCGGCTTATTCGATTTAAAGCGCCAGAAATCGATAAGTTGGCAAAATATTTTATAGAAATTACTTAAAATATAATGTTCTTTTTTTATTAAATGTTATTTTCAAAAGGGTTAAAAAATTATAAACTAAGTTACCTCGTTGCTATGAAAGTCCGTGTAGACTTGTTGCTTTCCATAAATTCATTTATTTTTTTTTGCAACTACATGTCCCTACTCCAAAAACGCACAGTGCTGGGCCTCAATTCTTGTTCTATGAAAATGTGAAATGAAAACTTTTATAAAGGAAGGAAATGTCAAATGAAAAATTTTATAAAGGAAATATATTTCATTTCATATTTTCATAGAACAAGAATCCAGCCCCTGTTCATAGAATTTCTAATAAAAACGATACTTTGTCTATGAAAATCGATAGAACCGCCATAAAAATAGTACTGTACAAACATAACAAGTTATTTGTTGCAATTAAGGGTGGCCGTTACCAAAATTTATTGTTTTGAAAATAAAAACAAGAACTTTTAAAATATATGATTGGGAGAAATGTACGAGCCATCCATTAAAGATTTTAACTAGTTTGTCATTAAATTTATATATTGAAAATTTTGGATCACATATTGATTGAATTTTGATCCTAGGAACAGATTTTGTTTCATCTTCTGCGATTTTTTTTTCATTTTATAATTGAGATAAAATTTCAAATACATGAATCTTGCAGGTTCTGGAACAGAGCAAATATTGTTAGGGGTTTGAAATTTTCGGCATTTGTACATTATGAAATCAAATTGTAACAGAAGAACGCGGGTCGTAGTATAGTAAAAATAATAGAAAAATAGGAATTGATTTTAAAAATATTTGAAAATTATACATAAGTTTCAAGATAAAAATGGGTTGCCATTAGTGATTTGCAAATAAGATGACTTCGACTTTTATGGGTAATACATTTTACAATTTCGAGATAAAACAATATTGTACTTCTATATTGTATTCAACTTTGCGGGATAACCCCATGTTTAGTGGTTGTTTCGCAATAAAATAATTTTGAGGAAAAGTGTAAAATAAACGAAACTAAACCGCTTTTTTGACTGGCTTCTTCGAAATAGAACAAAGGAGCGTAGGGCCAAAATCGAACTAAAGGTGGGAATACATAAGCGCTTATCTTGCTGGCATAAGTCATCGGCTGGCTTCTTCGGAAATTAACAAAGGAGCTTAGGGCCAAAATCGAACTAAGTCAACCTAAAACTCCTTTGTTCATCTACGAAGAAGCGATGACTTAAGACAGCCAAATATACCCTTTATGTATTTCCACCCTTAGTCTATCTAAAACTCCTTTGCTCCTCCCCGAAGAAGTCAGCCAAAAGACGTTTTATGTAACCTTGGTAGAAGAATACAGGTAGTCGAATCCACCCAGCCGTTGGGACAATGAACTGTCAAACCGATTTTGGAAATGTTAAAAGTGCTGAATGAAAATTTAAATTAAATTTAAAAATTATTGAAAATTTCGTATCGTAACAAAATCCGATTTGGGTTGTATAAGAAAGCATATAAAAATATACTTATTTTTGTCCAGACATTTGACATATCAATGTTCCCAAACGTTGATGCCTCTACCTGTATTCTTCTACCATGCCTTAATTATTGCATGTTGCTAAAGACTCCAGTATAGGGTCGCATTTTTTCTAGTGCCATTGAAGTTGAAGCGAATTTCTGCTAGTTTCAAGCGATTAAGCAAATCAGCTGCGGCAATACTTCTTTCGCCAATTGTCTTGTAATCTTAAAGTTTTTTATCTTTATTGGATTTTCCCCATACAATCTGTACAATCTTCCATAAACCACTGTAATTCTCTAGCATTGAAGAATTCCAATAAATATCATGTAAATAATCATTTTTCATCTCTTTTCGTGACTGCAATTACAATTCTGATATAAAACACATGTTTTGTTTTTGCAAAGACGCTGAGTAGGCAACCATTTTCCGGATGTGTACAAATTATATTTCAAAAAAAAAAAAAGAGAAAAAACAACGAAATACTTACAAGTTCTTTATGCGTTGTTTTTAGGATAGTTTTCTTTTCCCAGAATTGTGTGGTAAATCTTAAGTTTCATTATGTGTAAATATAATGTGTGTAAGTGTGTATGTAAATACTGTAACAACGTGTCGATGCACTTTTGAGTATTAATATTTAAGTCATATACCAGAAGATGAAATGTTTCACAAGATGTTTTTTTTTTTTTTTTTTTTTTTTGTAGGAGAGAGCTGGAGTGAAATGAATTTATTCTTCAACCTTTTTATTCATACATTACATACATTAAATATTGCCGTGTCTATCAAAAGACTAAAGGTGAGAGTACATAATTTTTTTTTTTTACTGGCTAAAGTCATCGGCTGTCTTCTTCGGAAAAAGAACAAAGGAGTTTTATGTTTTGCATCAGACAATAATGGTTTTGCATATGTGCTGTCACATTTGTTATTCATGTGTATTTCCGTTTATATGTCAAAATTGCCATTTTACATATAACTTATAATTCTTTCTATCACACGCTTGCATATGTTTTTTTTATTCCCTTTGGTTATATCGTGATTATATGTATTTTCTAAAAAAATTATACTTTATGGATCACTTTTTATCGCAAATTTAATTTTATATATTTTCACATAACAAACAAACGATAATTTTCATTGAATTATATTTTTCAAATGAAAATAGGGCTCTCTGTGATCGAAAAAGTACAAAAATGAGATGAAAAAACTGCAACCAACTTCAGACTGCTGTCATTTCTAAGCCACTCGTCAGACAACTGTTAAAATTGTTCCAGTGACAGCTGATTATATTGTTTACAAGCGTACAAAAGTATTTTGGTGAGCATTATCCAGAAAAAAAGTTATTCGTGATGGAATTCAAGCGTGATAGTGTGATTTCTTGATATTTGGCTGGAAAACCACTCCAGCATTTAAATGCGAATAAATCTTTTGTGTTACGTGTCTCCACCGCTCGTTACCGTGATACTGGTAGCGTAGCCCGACGTCAAGGAAGTGGACGGAAGAAAACAGCAACATCAGCAGAAATGGTTCGAAAATTAAAAAAGCGACTTGATCAAAACCGGCGTCGCAGTGGCCGAAGAATTGCTCGTGAGCTGAACATATCCAATATTCCATTCGGCAAATATTGAAAAATGAGTGCAAGAACTTACACCGCAACAGAAAGAAAAATAGACTCAAAAGAGCTAAAGAGTTGCTTCGCTTGGCCGAAAGTGGTGGACTGCCGAATTTGGTTTTCTCCGATGAGAAAACATTCGTTGTCCGGCAGTTTGTAAACAAACAAAATGATCGTGTTTACTTGCCAAAGAGATCAGCTGAAAATATGCACCCTCGGTTGGCCACCAGAACTCAAGCGCCGGCCATGGTGATGGTGTGGTGTGGTGTTAGTCCACCGTGGCATCAGAACAAATGCCGAATATTATCGCAAAAATATTCTGGAGGCCACAGACCTTGGGCATTCCAACAGGACTCAGCACGCGCCACCCTAGAATGGTTACAAAATGAGGTTCCTCCTTTCATTTGCAGCTTACAATGGCCAGTATTTTGGAAAGCAACATTGGCACGAAAAAATACCAAAGTGTCGATCACCTCAAGCAAGCGCTTCGCCGGGAATTGGCCAAAATACAGCAGAGCAATATTCGGGCAGAGTGTGATGGTTTCATTGGCCGTTTGAAGGCCATAATTTGTGCCAAAGATGACCAATTCGAACAAATCTAAACTTATTCTAAAATTTGATGCTATTTCCGACATTTTTTTCTTTCATTCAATTAAATTTACAAATTATGGCGTTTGACTTTGTTGCAGTTTTTATCTCACCCTGTATGCCTTTTTTTTATTTCCAAAAATACATTATATTTTATAAACGATTATAGATTGTGTAACAGTGAATTTGAAAATATACATTTTGACAGATGTTGTCAAATGTATAATTAAAAAAAATGTAAACATATGGTTGCACGTGTTTTGTGGTTACCTTTTTAATTCTACCATGCTTTTAGGGTCTAAGGCTGGAAATACATAAAGAGCATATTTCGTTGGCTTAAGCCACAGGCTGGCTTCTTCGTAGATGATCAAAAGAGTTTTAGTTGACTTAGTTCGATTTTGGGCCTAGGCTCCTTTGTTCATTTCCGAAGAAGCCAGCCGATGACTTAAGCCAGCCAGATAAGCGCTTTATGTATTTCCAGCTTAAGTACATAAGAAGCTTGAAGTCATGGCTAGGCATATTTTGTGACATTTCATAAAGGGATTACAGAGCCGCACTAAAATCCTGCCGTCGTTTTCCATTATAATTTGACATTAATATGCCTAGCCATGACTTCAAGCTTGTTATGTACTTGCACCTTTACTATTAAAAAAAGTGCAATATCACAGCAATAATTTGTAATTTTGTTAGAACAATGCACAGACCGTAAAAATTACGAACCTTTAACGGGTTTTAAATTTCGAACCTTTAACGGGTTTTAAATTTCGAATAACATAGACAGCCTACTACTACTACTTTTGCAGAAATACTAGATGTGGTACCACTTTGAGTGATGCAATGCACCCCCCAAATTTTAATCTTCCGACTGGCATTTCTTTGCAAATAATATCTGTTTAATAACAACAAAAAATAATTTTATTCCTTCAACAAAATACAATGAAACACTGCCGACAGCTTTTGGGGTACATTGAAATTTCACTTGTTCTAGGTTCACACAAAGTGGAAATTCTAAATGAAAATGTTTAATAAAACAAAATTCAAAACAAATACCTAAACGAAAGCTAACCTTAAGAAAAAAACACCGGACATTTGCCATTAACCCATTTGTGTATGCATTGTAAAACAAACAAACAAACAAAAACAAGATACATTTTATTTTTGCCATATTCATTTTTTTCCTATGTTTCCGTACATAAATTTTCCCAATTTAAAAATATACAAAACAAATAGATTGCCGATTTTATTTAGAATAGGTCT